TATACATAACTCACGGAGTGTTTTATTTTCCTTCTTTTTTGTCCACTGGATGTAGTAAGATAGCCATTGGTACAAATCAGAAAAGTGGTATCTATTTTGAATAAAATTCAATGCTTTGCCCTGATAGAACTTTTTTTAAAAAAAAATCAGTAAACTGGATAGCAGCTGAAGAACAAACCTCAGAAGATGAAATCTCAGTGGCTTTTGGATTTCAGAGCTGGCAGAGAACGGAGCAGTCAACACACACACACACAGGCTTTTAAATATCTTGTAAGTGTTACCAGACTCTGTCTGCTTTTTCCAGTCAAAAAATGCAGAATTCTGTGGTGGGAGAGAGAGACATGCTTGGTTTCAGTTTGGACTGCATTAGAGCAAAGGAAAGAGGGAAAGTGCTAAAGTATCATTTCCCCTTCTCTTTTATTGTGATTTAAACCATAATATGTAAACACCACCTTCAAGAGCAGAAGCAGTATATTTTAAAAGGAACTGCTTTTAATTCTTTCTACTTATTAAGGCATCTCTGTTCCTTCCAACAATCCCAGAGCAATTTAAAATACTGTAGCACTAAAAGCCATGATGGGCAGTAAAATCAAGTTATAAAATGATAAAACAGCACTAGAACGAGAAAACTATTGAATTGTTAATTAAAACCACATGCCTGGTCACATAGACACACAAAAATCACCCTGAAAGATAATGGAGAGAAGTAAGAAAAAGTGGCCACTGCCTTCATACCCATAAGCATTTGAATGATCGATCTGAATGATCAATTTGATTGATTGATTGATTGATTGATTGGCCATCCCATGTTTTCATAGTATGGGACCCAAGGCAACTCACTGCATGTTGTAAAGCAAAATGCTACCAAATAAGCAATAATAATTTTAAAATATAATTTGAAACATATTCTAAATAATGATACAGACAAATATGTCAATGCAAAAAAAATAATGCTGTTATGAAGCTGTTTTCAGCAGGTAAGTATGTTTGAACTTTGGTAAAGAACTTGACAATATATGGTGAAGTGAAGAATCCTGTGGATTACTTACCACACAACCCTGTGCATGCGTATTCAGAGGTAAATCCCATTGTGTTTATCTATCAAGTGGAAGTAGGAGTGTTCCAATCCACACATTAGTCTGAGGAGTATTGAGGTGATTTATTCATTTTCTCAAAGGAATTTCCAAGAGTCAAGTTCTCGAAGGAATTCCCAAAAGTCAAATTCCTGTATGGCAGGGGGGCTACACCTGATGGCCCTTGTGGATCTTTCCAACTTTAAGCTTCCATGATTCTATGACATTTTATGAAAGTAGCAACTGATTTGCACATTCTGACCCATAGCAGATTTTAACCTTCATTTGTCCCTTCACATTTCTCCTCTCCTTTTGTTTCTGTACCCTAGTTGGTACAATTTGGCAGGGACAGTGCCAATTTACCATCCCACTTTTGCAGTTACTTCTAGGATGTGCCAGTTTCTCTGTTTTCCTCCCACTTCTTCCTTTTATCTTCATCTCATTTCTGTTGGTGCAAACTGGGTTCAGAGTGCAAAAGTAGTTTTACTTTTAGGAAAAACATGGGGGAAAGGGGAGGAATCTTACTCTTCCCAGTAGGTTCAGGAAAAAGCAAACTGCTGCAGCCAGCCTTTCCTCACTTGTGTGTTTTCCCTCATTTATAACTTTTGCCACCTTAACCACATTCTGCTGTTGCTTTGGCCACATGTCCCGACTTTCATCTGTAAAATTTTAGAGCGTATATATTTCTCATGACTTCCTTGAGCATCAACAGCAGCTGAAATCACACCACTGAAATAGTTGTCTGAGTTCTGAATAATTGAGCAGAGTTAGGTTCTGCCAACTTGCATTAGCCAATAGTCTGGGATCTGGATTGAGGAATCTGTTGAACTGTGTTCCTAGAATGCCCTCCCTTCCCCTTCCTACGACTCCTTGTTGCCATTCTGGGGTTGATACTCATCGATATGCAACACACCATTTCAACGTCGCTCACTGCACTCTTCAAGGATGGACATCGACCTTTGGCCAACCTTGCAAGAAGACTGTGTAGCAAGAGGACACCTCCAGAATAGGAAGAAAACCAAGACCCCTTCTTAGACGATGGTCTGCTTGCATGGAGGGCACATTGCAGAATAACTTTTGGAGCAGGTAAGCACATATCATGCTGTGAGGAATGGGAATCATTGGGCTTTCCACCTGCCAACAACCTAGTCCAGAAGGAATGTCCAGTATGTGGATTCAAACTACAGAGAAGAGTCTCATGGTTGGTGATTAAAAGAAAGAAAAGAAACCCCACTGCCCATCAGGAATGACATTACATAAAGCAGTTGCATTTTCTGATGTTCAAGCCATCACATAACTAAGTCAGGTGCCTCATCTGGCTCTTGACAGAAGATAATTTGGCCAGATGAGGCATGGAGAGATTGGCCTTCTCATTTGTCCCTTCTGACTATAGGACAGAGGACAACGTTCTCTTCAGCCTTATGCTATGTTAACCCCATGTGGTTGCTGTGCATTTGTGACTCCAGTTTTATTAGACCAACCAAAAGTGCACCAAAATCTAAGCACAGATGCTTGGAAAAGCAATACTCTCCAACGTTTCACAGATGAAAACTGGGATATGTGTCTCACTGTCATTATTACTATTCCAGAAAAGGTTTTCCAATTGTCAGGAATTCCACTCCCACATTTAACCTGGAAGTGAATGCTAGAGAATACTGTTGAAACCATCATTCTTGTCTGTCAGAATATTATCACTATGCATTTAATCAACCCTCTTTTGGTTATCAATACCCATTTTTACATACCCTCCAACTGGCCTGATTTGGCAGTGACATTCTTTATTACTCCTCTTCCATCCCACCTTTTCAGCTGCTTGTAAAATGTCCCAGGTTCTCTTTCTTTCCCTCTTTGTCCTCACTTTGCTTCAGTTGCTGCAAACTGAGTTCAAAGTGACATGTAGTTTGCTCCCAGTTCATTCACCACGGGGGAGAGAAGAGGAGGGGACAGAAGCTTGTCCTTCCCAGAAAGCTCAGACAAAAGCAGCAAACTATGGCAGCATCTTTATCCCCTCTTCCTTATTAATAGCATTGTCCATTCTAACCCCATTCTCATGTTGCTTAACCATAGATTTCCTAGTTTTCATCTGTGGAATTTTGAAGGGTATGGCATTAGCTATTTGCTGTATATACAAGAGTACTGAACTTTTCTTGAATATCAAGAATGAGACATTCTCTGCTTGTTCTGATAAACTTGGCCTTGAATAGTCTGTGCTCTTCAATGAGAATAAAGTAGTTGCACCCTCCTAATGAATAACTGGGGCATCTCATTACTCCTCTTGGTAACTGAAATTTACCAATTTGAAAAACATTGCATTGTTATTTGGAGGGTGGGAAAGAAATAAACCCATGATGCTTCAGAAAACAACTGGGAAGCTTTGCTTTGGGATCCAAGAGAGAAAACACTTGTCCACATTTTCTGAAGGATGTCATGTCTATTTAGTGCAGGGGTAGGCAACCTTTTTGAGTCGGGGG